GATGAGAAACTGTGGCCTCAACATAGAAGGAGATGAAAATGAAGAAGAAGATGAAGATCAAGTCTCAAAAACTCCAATGATGAAATTAGTGGATAAGCGATTTTACCAGAATTTTGGTATGCATATGTATCATTCATTCTCTCTTATCTGTAATTTCCTTAATTTATTTGTTTGTTTTAGTTTCTAGTATTTGATTATTTCATGTGACTGATTTTGAATTTTTTTTTTCTTCTGAAATTGATTTAGATCATGCCAAAACTAGGTTAATGACCTGTTTTAGCAAGAAAGGCAAGTCATGAACTTTGCATTGGGGGATGGCAGCTTTCTGCTTTGCAAAAGGAGTAGAAGAAGGACAAATCACTTCCTTCCTTTTCCTTTGGATCTTTTCATTTCTTCACTGCCTTGTGGTCTTCCATGTCGTAATCAGATATGAATTCTAATGCAAATCCTTCTGTCTCTTGACGTTCTAAGTCTACCCTCTCCTGCAATGCAATAAGCATCAATGAAGAGATTGAGAAACAAAGCTCGAGTTGAGTTTACAAAAGAAGGACACCCAAAAAGAAAGAAGACCACCAGAGAGACCTTCTGAACCAACCAAAATCAATGGAAAATGCCTTGCCCGGGATCAATCAAATCAATCACTCCGAAATGGAGGAGAACTTGGAGAAAAAAACGCATAACCTCCTTTCCTCTGTTGGTTGTTGTTGGCCTTGTTGAGGATTGTAAGAACTTGTTAGTTAGATGGTTTTGTTTGTAAGGACTTAATTAGATGGTTTTGTTTTGCTGGTTTGTTTTGATTGCTGGTTAAGCTTCTAGGTGTAACAGCGCCCGCGTGGGACCTCGTGCTACAGTTCGGACTCTCGATTTGTGTCGCGGTTCTTAATCTGAACCAAAGAGTCCAAATTTGGCAAATCGTTTTTTGAGAAACAGATTTTTGAAAAAGTAGTGCCAAACATGGACTGCTTTGCCAGATACAGAGTCGCCACCTAAATATTTTAAAATGGGGGAATTTAGGAAACCCTGACTCGGTGCCGAAGGCCACGTGTCCGTCATCACCGGAGTTGTCTCGGCTCGGGAGCTTGGGTACGATCGGGGAAGGTCAGCTATGAGCACCCCCTTTCATGTATCTCACCTCTCTCTCACGCACACACATCAAGCTATTAATGTTTCGTTTACATTTCTCACAACGGAAATAATAACAGTTTGATTTTTAATTTTTATTATTAGAGGGAGAAAAGACCTACATTAAGATAAAGGAAGACTACATATGAAATATTATTGAAATATTCAATAATATTGAAATATTATTGAATATTTGATGTAACAAACAGAGTAAATTATTGAAATATTCTTCTAGATATTTGAAGCCTACCTTTCCCTCCTTTAAATCTTTAGAAATTCATGGAAACTGGGTGGGGAAAGGTTCCTCTTGTTATATGCTTATCAGTACCCCTTAGTGCTAAGTGGAACAATTAACTACGACTGATCCTGATCTGGCTGTTAAAACTGAAATGTGTGCCCTATCTGCACCTGCTGTTGGTTGCTGCGCGTGGTTTTGGTAACTGCCAATTTGATAAGGATCCATCCATTCGAACCTTTTATCAATTTCTAACCATATATATGTATCTTCTAGCATGTAAAGTTGTAACTCTTGGCTTCTTGTTTGAGATTATGTATCAATTCAATCATTATTATGCATTAATACAGGCGTGTCTTGAATTAAGTGCTTATGAGTATTAATACAAATAGTCTTTTTTTTTTTAACTTTCCTACTAAATATATTAAAAACCATCATAATCAGGGACTGAAAGAATATGGAGACGACGTGGCAGAGTTGTGCTTGAGGCATGTTATTTCTTGCCTCTGAGAATATGAAAATGAACTCTACCAATTGAAGGGTATAAAATTGACCTATACTTGCTTGTAACCCCCATCTCATATTCCCTAATACTTATTATTAAAATCATGGAGGAAAGACTTGTTTGTCCATCCATTGAGAATGAATTGGACTAACTCAAGGAATAATTAACCAAAGTAGGTATGTGGCATAACTATCTGTGAATAATTATGAAAAATGCTTGATCATGAAACTTTTCTTTGTGTTTAGAAGAACACAAGGCCCAGTGATTGAAAACAATGTGGCTTTATCAAAAACTGTAAAATGTTGAGTGCTAGGTTCTCTCTCAAGAGTGTGCAAAAAGCCTTCATCAATTGTTTATAGGTAATGTACTTGTATTAGTTAAAACCTAATAGGACTAGAATCTAGGTGTGCCCTCAATGCCCCAGAATAGAGCTCAGTAATTCTTCTGTAGGGAATATGGAATGATGCTTTTGCGCAAGTGGGTTTTAGAGACGCTTCAGGCAGGGCTTGCAATATGTCTACTCTAGGCCGCCCCCTCTATAGTTTGCTTGAGTGGCCTGAGGTCATGCTCGTCCAACCTTGGCTGGCTGTCCTATTTTTCTCAAAATTTCAAAGCTAGAGGTCAGCACACTAACACCACTATTTTTCTCATACTAGTTTTAGTTTGGTCAATTTTGTGCATTTTGAAATTATGCATCCTAACACCACTAATGCAACATGCTTGTGTAAGTATACATATGTGCAAGTAACGGAGAGATGCTTGTAGTATCGATGCAACGGAGCTAGTCTACAAGTTGCAACACTCATCAAAACTACCTAACCACGACATTTCTACTTTTGTCTTGGTTTGTGTTTGTTGAATCACTGACTAGTAACAAGCCACACATGTCATGATGATTACATCAAAAGTTTGCAGCACATTCGGTTCTCTTACATAATACCGCTTTAGACATCATGGTGGTAGAGACCTAGATATCCTAGCTTAACTTGGATTTAACTTAGAAAATGTTTTTCAAATTCGTAAGTTGTTTTTATTCTTGCTTGGGATGCTTTGAATAAACGTGGAGGTTTTTATTGTTTTTATATTCTTTATTCATCCCCTTTTTCCTTTTTTGCTTTTCCTGTTAGGCTATAGTTTGTTTGAACAATGAGTTAGTGGGTACTAAAAAGGTGAGAGAGCATATATGCTATCCATTTGTTTTAGTTTAGACCTGCCTGGAAAGAGAGAGTGGCCCTGTTGTCATCTACAAAGAATATAAAAGGATCATAATAGAAATGTCCTCATCATACTATCTCATCTTAAACAATAATGTTAACTACTCAAAAAAGTATTTACAAAAAGGGTTAGTTTTCAAATTTGAACTAATTTGAGTGACCTATGAGCTCACTACAGGTCCATGATCCATAGTATTTAACACCATTAAATCTTTTCACAATAAATTTCATGGCAGTTAAATTTCATGTTACATTAAAGCTAGATAAAGTTAGATTTTAACAATTAAGCAATTTGCACAAAAAAAATTTAAAAAATAAAAATTTGAGCAATGTATATATATATGCTTGATTGATATTATAAAAAAACAAAAAAGAGTTAACTTTTCCACCCAACTTTTTCAATAACCAAAAAAGAATATTTCTTATCACGTGGAAAGGAATAATCTTTTTTTATTATTAATATTTGGAAAGGAATAACCAAAAAAGATATTTGAAGCCTACCTTTCCCTCCTTATGTGTTTGGTTCTAATCTTGTCAAAGATCTGGTTGACATGTTTACTTAGTTTAAGGTTTGGTGCACCCACTTGAAATTCAAAAGAAGGTGCGAAAGAGCTATCCCAAAGCTTGTTTGTCTGCATTTGGAGATTTCCTCTTCCTTACTTTTTATCGTCCATTTGGGAATCATTGTGCTTTAAAGTGAGTTTATAATAATGTAATTTATTGTTTGCAGGTGTCTCTCAAAAGTTTTCAAGGGGCAGACAGGTGGATTTTTCCAATCACATTCATGATTATTTCTATTACTCTTTTTGATTAAACAGAATATAGTGTGTAAACTGTGTTACTTTTAAATTACTTTATGTTTGTTAAATTATAGCTGCTTGTATTATTGTCGTCTTGTGAATGGGACTAATATTATACTTTATCATTAGTAACTGATATTGTTGTTAATTTGTTATGGTAGGACGATAAGCATTTGGTATTCTTTACTTGTGATAATCTGGTTGTTCTTGTAGAATCTTCATTAGAGATACCTAGTCTTCTTTTTGTTTTTTGATAAATAGAGATACCTAGTCATTTTTTATGAATCTCTATATCATAATCTATCAAGAGCATTGTAGAAACTTTTAGTTTCTTCATTAATATGCTTCATGCTAGAAATGCTTCTAGTATGCTTGATAGTTTTGATTCAGGTTGCACCACCGGGATGCAATAATCATGATAGTTGTTAATTTAGCAAGTAATTATCCATGCATACATAAATAGTCTTAGACCCATCAAAGAATCTTCATTAGAGATACCTAGTCATCTTTGATGAAGCTCTTCTTGGATTGTCCAATTGGGACAGTTCAGGAGCACAAGTCTATGTTGTAATTAGTAGTTCTACCGCTTAAATGTAGTCCATCTCGTAGAGATTTCGTGTAGTAGCTTCTCATGTTCTCTGAGTGCATACTAGACAAGGTGTAGCAGTACACCTAGTCTATGTCGTGTACTTGGAGAATCATGGGGAGATGCTGCCGAAATTTCGTTAGAGATGGACAGAGCGGTATGAGCTACTTTTTACAATATAGATTGTGCATTCCTGAATGGGAAAGTAGGATGAACCAACCTATTAGAGAAGAGTTAGCGGTGAATGGTGTCATGTCGCATGCATTGTAATGTACTTAATTGAGGTTAAGAATAATTAAAATGAAATGATAATTTTGAACCTTGTTGATTTGGCAGTGACATTTGTAGTGTAAGACGAAGTCAGATGGATAAAAGTTGGATAAATCAGCATAGGTTGCATCCAGAATATATAGAAGGGGTTAAGGAATTTGTTAAACTTGCATGCCAAAATAATCCTCTATCAAATGAAGTCACATGTCCGTGTAAACGGTGTCGAAATGTCAAACTAGTAAAGAATGACCTTTTGGGGGAACATTTAATGGTCAATGGGTTTCTTCCAAGCTACACCAGATGGATTTTTCACGGGGAAGATTTACCGGCGTCTGTGCCATTGAATGAGAATGTCAGTGATTCGAATGATGGCGATGAAGTCAATGAAATGATATATGAGGGGTTCGGACTTCCTCCACCAAGCTTGGTTCATCTTGCTAGTAATGAGACAGGAAGTTCTAATATCGAACTAGGCCCGGATAAGAAAACTGAAAGATTTTTCAGTTTATTGAAGGAGGCCGAAAGAGAGTTGTATCCAGAGTGTCACAAGTTTTCAACGCTGTCATTTGTTGTTCGATTATTGCATATCAAGTGCCTTAGTGGATGGAGCGACAAGTCTTTCACGATGTTGCTTAAACTTTTGAAGGATGCATTCCCAAAAGGTGAAACTTTGCCAAAGTCGTTCTATGCAACGAGGGCACTCCTTAGGGAATTGGGCCTCGATTATCACAAGGTACATGCATGCCCAAGAGATTGCTCACTGTATTGGAAGGAGACAGCTAGTAGGGATGATTGCATAGTGTGTCAGACGCCTAGATACAAACAGTTTGAGGGTGAGAAGAATGATTATAAAACGAAGCAACAAAGAATTCCCCAGAAGATTGTGAGATACTTTCCTTTGATTCCAAGGCTTCAAAGATTGTTCATGTCATCCAAAACTGCTTCATTAATGAGATGGCATGTAGAGGGCCGAATTGATGATGGCAAAATGAGACATCCTGCTGACTCTCCTGTCTGGAAAAATTTTGATACTTTGTATCCCAAGTTTGCGAGTGAGCCTCGCAATGTCAGACTAGGTTTAGCAGCGGATGGATTTAATCCATTCAAGGCAATGAATGTTGCTCACAGCAGTTGGCCAATTATTGTAATGCCTTATAATTTGCCAACGTGGTTGTGCATGAAACAACCTCATATGATGATGATATTGCTCATTGATGGTCCTTCTTCACCTGGCAATAACATTGATGTCTACTTGCGCTTGTTAGTGGATGAACTGATTGAATTGTGGGAAAATGGTGTTCAGACGTACGATGCAAAAACTAATCAAATGTTCCAATTGCACGCGGTCTTATTGTGGACAATAAATGATTTTCCTGCATATGCAAATTTGTCTAGATGGAGCACGAAAGGTGCTTTAGCTTGTCCTTGTTGTAACATACGTACTCGACATCGGTATTTGAAGAATGGAAGGAAAATTTGTTACATGGGGCATCGCCACTGGTTGAATGCGAGTCATAAATTTCGAAAAGATGGTGCGTCTTTTGATGGAACTTCTGAATTTGAACCATGTCCAACTCAGTTATCGGGGGCTAATGTGTTACAACAGCTAGGGCCTAAGCATTAACCAACTAACAGAAAAAAAAGAACTAGGAAAGGAAAGGAAAAAGAGGACAACGAGGAGGATCATAATTGGAGGAAGAGGAGTATTTTCTTTGAGCTTCCATATTGGGAGCATAATTTGATTCGCCACAATCTTTATGTAATGCACATTGAGAAGAACGTGTGTGATAATGTATTGTGGACGATATTAAATTTTGGTGGGAAAGGAAAGGATAATTTAAATGCTCGTCGAGACTTGCAAGATATGGGAATTCGAAAGGCATTACATCCTAAAAAAGGGGTTGGGAATAGGTATTATTTGCCGCCTGCATGTTTTGCTATGAACAATAGAGAGAGAGGTTTGTTTTGTACACTCCTGAAGAATATCAAAGTTCCAGATGGGCATGCATCCAATATTTCTCGTTGTGTTAACCTCAAACAACATAGCATATCTGGACTGAAAAGTCATGACAACCATATATTGATGCAACAAATACTTCCAATAGTAGTGAGAAATTTGTTACCGAAGAAAGTTGTTGAACCATTGATTGAGTTAAGCAATTTCTTCAGGCAGTTGTGCTCCAAAACTCTAGAGCCAGATGGGTTAGATCGTCTTCAATCCCAAATTGCTCTTACACTTTGCCATCTTGAGAGAATTTTTCCTCCATCATTTTTCGATATAATGGAGCACTTGCCTATTCACCTAGCAGAGGAGGCCAAGATTGCCGGTCCAGTGCAATATCGCTGGATGTACTTTATAGAAAGGTGTGCAATTCTACTCCAATTTACAGTTGTATTCATTTATTTGTTTATAATTGAACGTCGTGTGCATTTGTTTGTTTATAGGTATCTTATGACACTTAAGTCATATATGCGTAATCGAAGTCATCCAGAAGGTTCAATTGCAGAAGGATACTTAGTTGAAGAGTGTATGACCTTTTGCTCAAGGTACTTGGATGATGTCGAGTCAAAATTGAATCGACCAATAAGGAATTACGATGTTAGCGACAATCCTAGGATATTATTGGGCCATGCTTTAGGAAAAGGAAAAGGGTTTGCGCTTGATAACACATCATGGGTACAAGCTCATCGGTATGTGTTATTTAACACTGCTGCGGTTGTTCCATATCGAGAGTAAGATACAATCTTTGTTCCAAAATTTTATTGATACCATTAATAAGTATCTTGCATTTTATAAGTACTTTAAATGTATAGGGAACATCGTGATTTTATTAAGCGGTCACATCGTCGTCTCAAAGATTTTGATGTGGATCACCGTCACAATGATGAGTTTCCCAGATGGTTTAATTCTCATGTAAGTACTAATAACTTACATGTTTCTAATTTTCAATTCTCATGTTTTCAATTTTTAATTCTCTGTTAGTTGGTGTTTAATTTTGTTGACTTTTTAAAAATAGGTTGAAGAGCTTCTAGCTATTGAAAATGCTGTGTTGTCAGATGAGATTAAAAATTTGGCATTGGGACCTAGTAAAAAGGCCACGAGATTCAGTGGGTATATAATTACTGGTACTAGCTATCATACGAGGAGTCGTGAGTGGAGAAGAAAAACCCAAAATAGTGGGGTTATGGTGAAAGCAAAGACTTGTAGCTATGCAAGTACCAGAGACATGAATCCCGTGGAAGGTGAAGTAGCATACTATGGATATGTGACAGATATTACTGAATTGTATTACTCATACGACCGTAGATATGTGCTATTCATGTGCGACTGGATTGACAACAACAAAGGACTGAAGCAGGATGGGTTTGGTTTCACACTTGTTAATTTCAATCATTTGTTATATACAAAGAAACAAAATAGCGACGAGCCATTCATCCTAGCATCTCAAACACAACAAGTTTTCTATGTTAATGATCCTGTTGGAGCTGATTGGGATGTTGTAGTCAAGATGAAACCTAGAGACTTGTATGAGGTGTGTGGAGAACAACCAATTAATGATGGAGAACATCACAATGAAGTGGAAGGATTTGGCGACCAAGAGTTAGATACAACTTTGTTTGCTTGTGAAGAGGACATAAATTGGGTTAGACAAGGTGAAGTTGGAACAACTATTGATGAAACTATTGGACCTCTTGGGATATCGACACAGATACAATCTGAAGATGATGAAGAAATGATATGATATTGTAATTTTGTTTCATATTCATTGTTACATTTGTGCTTTTAGCATGGATATTCATGTTAATGAAACCTTTGCTTTTAAAATGCGTCATTTGTTTTCTTTTCAACGTGATTGTCCTTGAGACATCCTTTTACGTCCTTGCGAATGATCATACTTGTTATATTAAGATTGTGTTTAAAATTTAAATTTCTAGAGAAATTTTTTTACTATTTTGGAAAATCTTAATGTAGTAGATTCTTTTGTGCCAAAAATGGTGTTGAATTGGTAACATTACAATATCATATTCTGTTAGATATTAAAATTCTATTGTTTATGTATTCACTATCGTATCTATTGTACTTTGTATTCATTGCTAACCCATAAAATTCTACACGTATGCTTGTGGTCTTCTGTAAACTAGCATGACAGATCGACGATGCTCTAGGCAGAGGCAACATTCAGCCTCTGCAAATTCTGAGAGTTCTTATAGTGGGAGTGCAGATGAGAGTTCAGACGAGAGTACACGCATCATACCTGATCCACCCATGTCATGGTATCCTCCAAGTAGCTTGCCTAGTGCATCATCGAGTACTGGTTCAACACATGACACTACTGCTGGTATGAATTATTTTATTCAATTGAATTACTCCATTAGATTTCTTTGTTAATGTTCTTTTTTCTTTTGATGTTTTACATTTCTTTTTTTTAAACTACTGCTGGTATGGTTTTATTTCATTTAGCATAGTTTATTTTTGCATTTCATTATTCCTTTCTCTACAGATGTAAGGATGAAGGAACTTGGGTTTGGGATGGCGGTTAGTATATGTCAGCAAAATCAGATGGAATTGGAGTCCAATTGATCACTTAATGTTTGTATGGCATTGACTGATTCTTTTTGCATTCTTTGTACTAATAATTTTTTAGTTTCTGAAAATTATTTGATGCTCTTTTTGGAAGGGAAATTTTGAGTATCTGCGTAGAAGATGATTTTCTCTTAGTGGGAGGAGGATCTTGGTCAGTCCATGTAACATTAAGAGCACGTGGTCAATGCACTTGTTTGGGGCTATAGTTGAGGGAGCAAATGGGAGTTGGGTATTGTGTTAGCATGAATTCTGTGTGCTGTATATAACTACATGTATTTGTTGTGTTCATAGGTGTATGTAGGAGATAGAAGCCAAATGTTTGCATATTAGAATCTTCAGTGCTGATAATACATCCTCCCCCTATTTTTTTCCTTTTCTATTTTTATTCCCATATATTGAGAGTAACCGAATGTACATTATTCTTTCAAGATGCCGATGAGTCAATTTTTATCATTCTGCATGGTAGTGATTGGAACCCAAGTGGTGGCATTTTACATATTGTGCCTAATGAGTTGAACCAAGTGGTTGACGGGTATACACCCTTGGCTTCTCGTTTGGGTGTTTTAGCTCGAGATGGGAACCTTATGCCCCTCACTTATACAACTTGGAGCCATGTACCGAAGGAAAACAAAGAGAGAATTTGGAGAGAAGTAAAGGTAAAAGAATTATTGCATTTTACATATCAATTTTAACTGAATATTAACTCCTTTTACATATTGATATTGTGGTAGACACTCAATTTGTTGTTTTTCAATCCTGTGATCTTGAAAACAACTTGTAAGCCTATGATCTTGATTCTTGTCATTTAAATGTCTACAAGCCTGTGATCTTGTAAACAACTTTTGAAATATAAAGTTTCAGTCTTCAGTCATCTGGCATGGCACAATATATAGTCACAAAGTTGCCAATTATTTGCAGGTCAATACAGATGCCGATGAGTCAATGAAGAAATTTGTTTTGGCATCTGTTGGAAAAAAATGGAGAGAGTGGAAGGCTATAGTTAAACAAATGGGGTATACGCCATTCGACAACGATGCTGATAGGTTAACTCATCGACCCGAAAGAGTACATGAGCATCAATGGCGAAGCTTAGTCTATTATTGGGGCACTCGGAAGGCACAAGTATCATTTAAATTGTTTATTGATCTCTATCGTAATCTCATAAGATGAGTTTGTTAAATTAATAAATTATCTTGTGTTTGTGTTCATATGTAACAGAAAAAAAGTACAAAAAACAAAGAAATTCAGAAGAAGAAGACATTAAATCACATAACTGGCAGAAAACCATTCTCAGTTGTTCGAGTAGAGGTATATAGTTTCTTTATATTTCAAATTGAAATTGTATATTTTGATTTTGTTACTTAATTTTAAGTGTAATTGTAGGAAACTAATAAGAAGAATGGAGTTCCTGCAACTCGCTTAGAGGTGTGGATGGCTGGGTACTCGAAGGATAACAAACCAAGTAATGATAAACTTGCTGAGGTCATGGTATGTAGCACCATAATTATAATAATGCATTTTGCAGAACATTGATAGCTATGATTAGTTTGAGAAATCATTTCAAGTGCTCACTCTAGAGATTAAGTGGAGCTATGATTATGATATCAACCCAAGTAATTTTGAACTCTTATTGAATTAAAGACATAAATCTACTACTAACATATATATAAGGTAGTTGGTAATTATTTTTGGTTGGTGTATTTATTGATGAGGATGATAATGTGTGCTTTGCAATTGTTTAAATTTTAGTGGTAGTTTGTTTGGTTTTAATCAGTAAATCACAAGCAACAATCCACTTACTCCAAACCAATCGGGCAAATATCACAATTCTGTAGAAGACTATATATACCTTTCCACATAGGCACACAAGTGTGAGTTGAATCATAGAGACTATGAACAGATTTGACGTAGAAACTACCTGATGAATAAAGTAGAAATCTAAACTTGAAGAGAGACAAAGTAGATAGTTAAATTTGATAGAGAGTTACCTTTAACAGTGCCTGCAAATTGGAAGTGAGAATTAACTAATTATGTCTTGC